TACATTGATGTCAGAACCTTTTTCAATCAACAGTCGTACAATCTCTTCGTTGTTATGTACAGCTGAATAAAAGAGAGCCGTATGTTTATGATTATCACTTTGATTGACTTTAGCACCAGCATCAAGTAATATTTGTGTTATCTCTTTATTGCCCTTGTAGACAGCACTCATCAAAGCTGTTCGTCCTTCATTATCTGCAATATTCAGATCTGAACCTTGAGTAATTAGGTCCTTTGACAGTCCATTATTGTCGTCGAGAATCGCTTTCATCAGAGGACTGTGTGGGGTGCTTTGCTCTGGCCATTCCTTAAGGTCTCTAAAATAATTTTCCATCTTTACCTTTACCGCTCATCTAGTCAATGCCATCAGAACTCCATCTTCTTGAAGCAAGGATATACTCACTCAATTCAGCGGTCCTATTAATTACAAGAATATAAGAAAAAAGTACAACTAGTAGTATTTGTTGGAAATAGGTCGCCCCTTGTACTCCTTAGAATTCCCCCTCACTAACTATAGTAGAAAATGGCATCTTTTAGTATGTTTTGACTGGCTTATTGTATTGATTTGCATATTTCTAAAGCTTTACAATAGCATAGTCGGTTTGTTGATTTCTTATAAAAAAACAATATTTGACAGTAACTACAAAGATAGTATAAAGGTAAATACGTTATCATATGGGATATGAGGATATTTTTTGTTTGTTTGCTTTCTTTTCTTTTCTTTTTTTTTTCTTTTGTTGTTAGTTTTCTGCACAATGAGAAGTTAGTAAACAGACATAGTAAAAGTATTTAAACTCGAAGCCATTATCAGTATGACGCGTACATACGCGTAGGGTGACCATGGTAACGTCTGGGGAGGAGACCTTCCGAAAGTGAAGATTTTCACAAACAATTTTTAACACAAATTATGAACTACTAACGTGTGAAGTTAAAATGGGCTCTAGCATTGAAGAAAAAGAAGAAAAATAAATCAGTTTCAACATTCATCGAGTACGTTTAAGAATTAAATGAAAAGTGCCAAGGAAGATTTAAAAGAAACTAGAAGTAAAGCTGCGTCAACTTGGGGTTCTTGTTGATAAAAATCAAGTTGTGAATCCGCAATATTAATATTCAGCGTAAATTGTTATATCAATAAAGTTATATACTTTTGCAGTTTCTTTGGTAAGGCTCGTTTACACTTGCGAATTTCGCAGTGCATCAAATTACGGCTAAGAGATTGAATCCCTACTTTGAATAYCAGGCATTGCGTAGTACCAATAGATATCACCCTTTATTTGTAAAGTTTATATTTTCTTCAATTATTTTTACTGATTTATGTTTGAATTAATTTTGCCATTTTTTTATAATCACAATGACATATTGTCAAATTATATTATCATCTTTAGCAGCAAGCCGTCCTCACTTAGATAGTAATGACATGGCAGGCTATAAACACAGAGTCATTTATCTTCTCCGCTAAATATAATGATGCATCCACATCCTCATTCCTTAGRGAAGTCCTTTGTAGTTTCAGAGCCTGTATAACCAGTTATAGAGTTCGCTT